GGAGCACCATTAGGAGCTTGAGTGGGGGCTGCCGGGAGCGCTCCGCTGGGGATTGCTCTCAGAATCCTGGCCTCTAGCTCTTGAAACTGCGCCTCGGTAGCTCGCTGTTGAGCTTCCTTTGCTTCCTGTTCTGACTTGGCTCTGTCCTGCGCTTCATGATGTTCGCGATACGCGCGAAGTTCACGCAACTCAGCAGCATAGCGATGCTCAGAGCTTCGATGTATGGAATTGGAACGACTTGAACTGTGGCGGCGTCCACGCCGACTCCTGTCTCTGGAAGACGCAGAATTGGACCTTGTAAGACGATCCAAAAGCTCGATGGCACGAAGAACCCTTGCCACCTCCGTAAGACCATTGATCGTAACCTCTGCTTTTCCAAGACTGACTGGAATCTTCATTGCCTTTTCGCGAAGGCCAACCAGCGAAAGCTTGAATGACCACACATGCCAGCAAGAGTAGACTCAACGAAGCCACCATGCTTCTGATGTGCCTCTAGCTTCGTCAGAACCAAAATCTAGCCGGAAAATTGTTGATATCACGGATCACGGGCACGAGCGTGTTGTCACAAGGTAGGACTGCACTCGAAAATCCAAGCCACACATGCTGAGAGATTGCATACTGTATGTAACCATCTTTGCGGAGCTGCGAAAGATTGAAAAACTGTGAAGATCTCGTCGCTACGTAAATCCTGTCTGTGGGAGCACTGCCACAATTCTGAACAAATGCTATACATGTTCATTGTTGCGGCAGTTCCCGCGTTGGTCAATGCTACGTTGTGTTGCGCATGAATCTCCAAGCGAAAATCCCGAAAGTTGCATACTGTTTGTAATCATCTTTGTAGATGCTGCGCAGGACCGAAAGGACTGATTTGTAATTCCAACCGCCTTGCTTAAACTCATAAAGTACACTCAAAAGGGCACGATGCCATTCGGCTTGGACCGGACCAATCTCGACCCAGCGGCGAAACTTTCCAAGTAACACGTTGCGGACATACGAACTGTTGGCATACCATGGTGGGGGTGGATATAAATGCTTGGTGTTCAGGCCGAGCTCCGCAGAGGTCAAAAAGATCTTCATGTCCAACCAAACAAGTTTGCGATCGTCATCTGAGGAGAAATCGAAAGGTACGGTGTAAATGGATTTGACGGCGTAGGACATGCAATGTGCACAATACACACAGCTGATCAAGCAAATGTCGTCTACATACCTCAAATGTAGAACAGCCTGTCTCCAACCCAACTGAAACCTGTAACCTTCGCTTCTTTGTAGAGCCTCATTTTGTTTCCAACGTCTTTCCTGCCCTCCAAGTACCACGCTCGCTGCGACCTTCGACATCAGACCCCCAATGGGTAGAGACTGCAAAGTAAAAACTTTGTCCCCCACGCTGACTAGACATACCAGCATAGACGCGACGAAAGCACGATACAGCTCTTCTAAAGACCACGTGACCGATCTGCGTGCGAACCGGTTTGCCACACTACTAAACCATGCCTGGCGCTTCCTGCAAGGGTGTTTTACCGTAATGTACCGCTGAGGGCTTGAACAAGTGAAGATGTGGAGGAGTTCCGTAGCTTCCTGGATGGCTTGACTAGCCTCTACCACCTCATAGAACTGACCGGCGTCACCCACAATGCCTTCAAACGCGTGCATGTCACGGTGGCAACGGCAACATCTTGGATGGGAGGGCCAAGGATTCACAGGTAGACTCGACATAAGATGCAACTGATGGGCCGCGTCTTTGAGGGACCAAACGTCACTTGTGCCACCAAAATGTTTTAGCAATGTCTCCCAACCACGATGGAGGCTTCGCCATAGTCGCCGTCGGGGCCAAGAGGCGTAAGATATTATCTTACGAACACAGCTGTGACGATGCTTTCTGCAAATTCTGACGCCGCCAAACCAACACTTACCCTTTAATAGTGATGTAGCAATGGGGTAGTAGCCAACACGTGGCACGTAGTCCCAACTTTGGACTTTGAAGCCAAAGACTGTCCCAACACTTGACAAAGCAACGACAATAGCCAATCATTAGCGGATTCTGCCGTCAAGGCTGTCAAGCACCATGATGTGGCAATCAAAGCAAAACTAGCAACGAGACGGGTATACACTGGTTTGGGCATTGCCCACGCAAACTTCTTGTTTTTGTCGTCCGGGATCAAAGCAGGATCATGCAGAGATACCGTGACTGTGGAAAGCCGCCGAATAGCTCTCATAAGAGGCTTGAGTGTCGCTTACATGTTGCCAATGAGCATGAAGACGAACTGGTATTTTATGTGGAATGCTTCGACAGGTTGCAGTAGAACTGGCACCAAAAGCTTCGTCAACCTGTCCTAGGCACATACCAACCTGCGAGACGAAGGGTACGCGCTCTGTCACCCGCCAATTCTTGTCAATACAATACATGTTTGCAGAAGCGACCTCTGGAACGCTTGGGGGCGCAGTAGGGAACCTCATGTGTTTTGCCAGTTGGGAATGGTTCCATCTGTCACTAAATAAGGCTTCCCGTGTAACCACAACCTTGAAACGAGAAGACATCCACTTGGCGGCCAAAACATTTCCATGCGAGGCAACTCTTGAGAGTTCAGCAATATGTGCATGCACCAAGTTTGTGAAACATACATGTGGCACCACGACCTGTATATACTTGCTTGTCCAATAGCCTCTTGCCATAAGCCACGGATCCAAAACCCTTCTCGCCATAGTGCGCTGATGTGACTTCGGAAGTTTCCTCAAGCATAGTGCACAACGAACAGCAGCATTTCTGTCAAAAGACTCTGCATCTTTCCACGCGAAAGTGCACTTGCTTGTAGCCAAGAACAACATAAACAAGGGCCTGAAACGATCTTCAAAAAATATTCAGGGGACCTCTGAAACCAGAATCTGCATGAAGGCGCTGCTGGAAAAGACGATAAGCATCCTTGAAACTGAAGTTCCATGGGCAAAACTGGGGCTGCTCAAGGCCTTCCCTCACGGATATCTGCAGAGTATGTTCGCGGCAATAGCGATTGAAAATATTTACGGTTCTGGAAGGGTCAGGTTGACCAGGGTTGGCTCGCAAGGGTTTTGGAGGTCGTTTCCGAACGTAACAAGTGACAGTCCGGGACGGTGTCTTCTTTTGTCGTCCATCGCTGCGAGGGCCATGAGCACGGATGTCAAAGGTCTCCAGGGCTCGAATACAACTTTCCGCACCAACTGCAACGATCATGAAGAAAGATGACTCAGGTGACACTTTGCGTGCAAGACGGTACCGCAACTTGCCGCCTTCTGGAGACGTAGGACGAACAGTAGCAAATAAATGCTCCATCAAGCGTTTTGAAAGACCACCCTGACTTGGGAGACTGGGTCGCTGAAGATGGCCTATGCCGGTGTAGCGGGTGTTCTCGGTCCACCACTGATATAAGCCAAAAAGGTCGGGGCAGCCATCGATGAAGTTCTTTTGCATGCGAATGACATATGCGAGAGCTGCACCACGGGATGCTGAGTGTGGCAAACCACCCCATTCCAGTGCCGCACGTGCCAACGGGGGCAGGAAACGCAGAACTCGTTGAGCTTGAACGGTCCAATGCCGGGTACGGAGCCAAAACAAACTCTTCGCTGATACAACTGTTGCCAACACGATTTCGAGAGGGGCGCAAGTTCTGTGCGACTTGTGTGAAGAAGGGAAAAACCAACGCACCAAAACTAGATTCATGAGCTGGAGTCGATTCCACGATTTTTGTGGGGGTCGGCGGCAATGCAGATCATGAAGCATCGACTCGAGAATCATGTGAGCAAAAGCTTTTGCGCTCATGTCCAATGCTTGAATATGGGCACGATCACTGTAGAAATCCCCAGAGAAACTTTCAATATCAGATGTAAATATGGAATACAGCATGGCAAAGATGTACGTGGGTTTGGCGTTCATCCAACCAGCTGGCAAGGCCTGAATATGGAACCTGTTCATCGCTTCTGGAATGTTCAGAAACGGCAAAGCCCAAAGCACCGTGGCACTGCTGTAATGCTGCCGGTAAGCAAAAGGCGAGTCACAAACACAAACATTCGACTTTTAACGCGAGACCCATGCATGTGCGGGGCGTTTGCCCCTTCAGCGCTAGCCTAAACCTCGCGAAGCTGCGGAGATCGGCACGTTCACAATCTGAAACACTAGACGAAAGCAGCGTACCTAGAAGGAGATAGCCCTCAAGGGCAATAACAGGCTCTGTGCCGTCTACACTCTGGTGATTTCTGCAATGCAACGCCGTGGTGAAAGGCCGTAGCCAGAAAACCCAAGTGGCCTAAAAAGAACTAAGGGCGGAGGGAATCCACACATGCCCTGTAACACTTTCAAAATCGTAGAGGTCGCCGTAGTGGTCGAATACTGTACTTTTCGAGCAAAGCTTCGGATCCAAGAGATGCTTTTAGCGAGCAGAGCGGCCCTCTGCATCATAGTATCTGAATGCCGTGCCAAAGGCCGGAGTACTTGTCCAAAACTTGATTTTTCGAGCAATCTTGCGATTCCAAGAGACGCATGCATCTGGCCAAAAAAACGCCGAGTTACCTTTTTATGCATCATTGAATTTGTAGCTGTGTGCTGGGCCCGCGTAGCTCACGCATGCGCCTGGCCGCCCGAGCGTCGTACCCGGAGCAGCTGTTGTCTCGAATGTGGCTTACGATGTTCTGTCTGAGAGAAAGAAATGAGGCTGTTTAGGCCGATTGACAGGTCCCGAGCCCGTTAATTACAGATTCCGAACGTAGTAGAGCCTTCCAAAACATTGGTCATCGGTCGGAAGCTACGGACGAATGCGTAAGTGGGTATGTGGAAGGGTAGGTCGGTCGGCCAGGCAATCCGTTGTCGTGATTGCCATGCAGTAGCGATAGAGTGGCAGAGTTCAGGAGCAAGCCTAGCACCGCTGTTCAGCACCGCCACTGTGGAACACGATCGAGCACATTGACATGCTGCTGTATTTACACCATCACATCATGTTGCGGTTCTGGACATGTTGCAAAAGCATGCGTCGAAGGCATGGAACACTCCAAGCCATTCGGTGAAGGCAAGCGTGCATGGAAAAGGGTTTGCATTTTTGTATACAGGATAGGCAGGCACGACAGTCGAAGGTATGAGGTCATGTTCAACAGCGGCCCGCATGTCAGAAAGTCGTGTTGTCACTGTGCATGCCTGAATACACTTGTAACCACTAGCCAGCTTTGGATTTTGACATGGTGCATCGATGCGTTTTTGTGCATGCACTGAACAAGGCTGGCACTGACTGAGCTCGGGTTGTGCCAGATGGTGGGGTAGCAGCGAGGAGGCAGCTTAGGTGGCACATTGCGCCGATTACTTGCCCCCATTTTTTTTGCCACAGCACTGCGTGCACGTGTGACTGCTCCCACAGTAGACATGTTGGGGTCTAGAATAGTCAGCATCTGCTGGCTTCATGTGGTAAGGGCAGTTTCCATGTCGCCAGCTCTTGCGGCATCCCTGGCATGTTTCGACAGGCCTGTTGGTTGTCCTCTCTGCAGTTCGTCGCTTGTTTCACCGGTTGTGAGCGCAGGCTGTTGAAGTTTAGTATGACCGAGGCAAAGTGGCGAGCCTGTCAAGCCACAGTATATTCGGGCCCAGTGGTTTCCCTAAAGACCCCGTAGCCGTGGATGACGTTGCCTTCCATCGTGGCTTGAGGCTTGACAGCTCTGTAGAGGGCAGGCTGACCAGAAGCAAGACTGTTGCAGGCTTTTGTCATCTGCCATGGCATAAAAGTCGGCTGATGCTCCGAATTTGCGGTGAGGGCAGAAATGAGGATGGACAGATTGATGTGTGATTGGCAGTCTTTAGTGTGCGTGCTCAATGTGCTCAGTGCACTGATTGAGCATCTAAGCTGTATCTGGAAACGCTTCCCGTCGTCCGCCTCAGCCCGGTCGCAGGTGAGCAGCAGTGTCCACATCAGGGCCCAATTGGCAGGTCCAGTTTGCACAAACCGAGGAATGTGGCCAGACCGGTTCGGTGTTTGTGCGACAGCGGGGGTTACCCCAAAAACTTCCGCCCACCTTGTGCCAAAATCCAGTGTTGTGGGTGGCCTGGGTGGCCCTGTAGGGCGGGGTGGGTCACTGGGACGGGATTAAACGGACGAAAGAGAGAAGCTCTGACCGCTTGGCTGAGGCCGAGGCGACTGGCAACTCGTACCTTTTTTCATGTTGTTTTTCCATGTCACTGATCAGCATCGGTCCTTACCGAAGGGAAATGACTTCGTGGAAATTTGAACCGCAGGCCTCACAGCTCGAGAGGTTGCCCGCAGCACAGCCTCTCGTCAAGCCGGGTACACAACTTAGCTTTTGCTGCGAAGACGCATAGCAGCATGTACATGTTCCTGGTTGTGAGCAGCAGCCATGAAGACTCCGAGCTGGCTGCATGTCAATGCACAAGATCTTGAAGCAACAGTCAAACGTGTCATTATGCGACCTGTCTCTGGCGTAAATCCATATTCTGTCCTGCCACATTTTCGTTTTATCAAGGCATTGCGATCAGGCGGTCCAAGCTTGTCCCAGACACTGGAGATTCACTTGGATTTTGAGTCCTGCATCTCACCCTTCCCACGAGCAGAATCAGGTGAGGCTGCTGGCCCGGACAGTATGTTCTTACTTTTCAGGTTTGCAGCTGCTCGAGCATTTGCTGAGCTATGTCAGACTTGCGAATTGCGGCAACTGCTCAATGTCCACAACACACACTGAGAGCATGTACGATGTGCTCATCTGAATCTGGGACTGTCTGTTTCCTGCAAGCTTGTCAGGGTCGCCATGCAGCCCCTGAAATCCTGGACAGACAAAATGATTGCGCTAGCAGCATGCCTGCAGTTGATTTATTTTCTTTGCAGTGATTGCCCTGAGAAGATTTAACAGCTAAGTACAGTAGCTTCTTCATGCCATACGCACTACCAGTTGGTTGATTCATCAGATTGGGAGAGCCTGATCTAATTTGCCCTGTCCGCAAGTTGCTGCCGAGGCAGATTCCACGAACAGCGAGAGCGCTGGTTCGAGCGGGCAGACCTGCAAAGCTCTAGGCTGCACCAGGCCTGTCGGATCTGTGACTCACGCGTGCCAACAGATCACCAAGGAAGAGGTGATAGTGAAGTCCAGCAGGGCCCTGCTCATCCACAGCGCAGCATTTCGTTTCAAATTCTTGGATTTGCAAATCGGCCAGGCCGACTTTTGATGGTTTTCCTGGCTATTGCAGCAGAACCTGCAGGAATCGTGCAGGCCTCAGCTGAGGGAATGGCAGGCAAGTAGGAATTCCGCCAGACCGAACAGTCTCTCGAACAGACTCCCTAGCTGCGAAAGTGTCTGATGTGATGCCCACATTGCTGCTGCCTGTGCACTGCTGCCGCTTCCGCTGCTGTGCCACTGCTGCCGCTTCCGCTGCTGGCTGCGCGGCTTCTTGGGCAATTGATGGGTCAGACCGGCGGATGGTGGGTCCCAAAATGCTAGCAGTGGCAACGTTGCCCCACCGTCATGTTCCTTGGAAGTCAGGGAAGCCAATTACTTGCTTTGTCTCAGCAGAACATGTTCTGCAGGTGACAAGATCTGCCGGGCGGTCGGTTGCGAAAGGCGTGCGCGCGCAGCAAGAGAAGCATCTTTAAGCCTATTGGAAGCACTGTGTGTGCTTCCCGTCAACATCAGGTGTTCTCTTCCGGCGAGATCACACCGTAGCTTCTCTGTCTATCTTTCTGTCGTTCTATCTATCTATCTATCTATCTATCGTTCGTTCTATCTATCTATTCATCTCTCTGTCTTACTATCTATCTTTCAACCTCTCTATCGATCTGTCTGTCTGTCTACCTACCTATCGATCTATCTCAATCTCTCTATCGCTCTCTCTTTATCTCTATCTCTGTATCTATCTATCTATCCGTTCATGTTTTTGTTGAAACTTAGATAGCTATCTGTCTGTCTGTCTGCCTGTCTATCTATCTATATAGTAGAGGTTGTGAGGTTAAGTCGAGATCCTCGACTGCAGACATTCCTTGATGGCGGCCGGTGGTGCTAGGTAGCAGCAGAATGAAAAAGCCCTGACTGCTCAATTCAGCTAGCACTTGGCTATGACCCTGCTGGCTCGCCTTTCTGAGCAGGTGGATCAACTCATGGAACGAACAGAGTCGCTCGCAGCATGTCAGCATGTAGGCCGACATACGACGGCCAGCCTGGCTACTGCAGCAAAAGTTGCCGCGACAGTGCAATCCTCAGACGAACACTGCAATCACCCTGGACGAAATCGAATTATTCGCTTCAAGCCGACTCCGGCAAACTTTCCCACGTTCCAGGTGAGACTGCAGGCTCGACGGTGCTTGCGACGGCCCCGGCTGACAGGTGTTGTATCATTCATGTCCACGTGCAAGATTCGCGAATCTAGGAGCCGAAGAGCTTTCCCTTCAAGTGGACGTTGTACGAGAAGGAGAAGTCAATCGGTGTGTGTGCCCTACCTGTATAGCATGTATCACATACGCTTCCAGGACCCAGGATTTAGCACGCAGAACGCAGGCCTGGATGATTTGTAGGCGCCTTATGCGTTGGCCACCATCATGGTTGGTGAGAATTTTCGCTGCATCACGGCCAAACGGGTTGAGACTTGTGGATACGAAGGGTCCGAATTTCGGATACTATGCGTCTGGCTCACGAAGATCAGGATATCTTACTAATGAGTGGCTTTGCCTGACATCGTAGTTGAACTTATCTGCACCACATGATCCAAGGTGCATTTTACTTCCCCGGATACGAGACTGCATGGGACAAGGTATCCAGCTGGGACATGTTCAACCCACGAGATAGTGAGCAGCACGGCACGGCACAACACGTCAAGATGTCTCATTTGTTTGGGTTTGCGGATGCTGCAAATTTGTGTACTTTGTCGCGCCGGGAATCAACTTCAATGTAGTGTCTTGGTGTTTGCCAGCTCCTAAGACAGGATTGCGGCTGCAGCTTCCTGGGCAACTTCTATCCTGCGAGCATCAGCCTCACCATCCGCGGCAAGTCAACACAATTTCGATGCTCGGAGCAGGATGGTCTGACATATATAAAGTTTAGGTCTTAAATATGCTCACAGATATGGGGAACGTTAAATGCTAGGTTTTGCTTCCGGAATGCGTTTCGGAGCAAACAGGCGCCGTGGTGCATCCAACTGTCTAGGAAGTCAAGCAGTCGAAGGCATCAGAGATACAGAACATGGATGAACCACCTATCAGTCCCACGAGCCAGTGGTTCACCTGCTTCAGCCGGCCGAGCATGTCGAGGGCTTGTCCGAGTTGGTACTCCAACAATTTGAAAGAGTGCCTGTCACCCGAGCTCCCAGCAATCAACAACTCGGAAACCACACGTTTGCACCTGATTGAGCGTGATTCCGGCGAAGACTCTATGGATGGGCTTCCCTTTACAAGTTCGTTGATCATGTTGATCTGAACAGGGCCCAAACCGCAGCATACTCAGTGAGGATCGGACGGCTGTGCTAAGGAAATGCTGAGGCAGCCTTTCAAGCCTGCAAGTTTCCTGCGAGGGCATCCGAATTCGCAAGTTGCGTCGCTTGGCTCCATTGCTGAATGCCGGAGGGTATGATTTCGAACTTATACTCCCTCCATCCTTGGGTGATGGAGTCCTGCGAGCTAGCTGAGGCAGCGAGGTAAGTGTGGTGCGACATGTTCTTACCAAGCACCCCTGAGCTATCAGTAACGGGCCGATTCAGCATTCCTTTGGTTCGTGATCTATCAGTCAAAGGGTAGGGAAAAGAAGGTGCCCGATGACGCGATGTACGTTTAGGAATTGCAATGAGGGTTGTGCTATGACGCTATGACTCTATATATCTGCAACTACACCAAGGATGGATGGCAGGCATTCCGACTTCGATCCGTGCCTTGGTACTGTTCCAAGCGACTTCAGATCTGCATGCACCAACCGCAATGGTGTATCAGGCGAACCTTACAGCTTCATTGTCAGCGCTTGGATGTCCGCGTTTTCGTGTAGAGTTAGGTAACAGGCTTTTCACAGCTGGAGCGAGCACGGTAGCCTCCGTGCCATATAGCAACTCACAGGATTGCGCTGGTGAGGGAGAAGCAGATGCACGCTTTGGCGGCTTCGGTAGCAGCATGGCATCAAAATGACATGTTGTATCCCATGTGTTGAAAAGACATGTGATATGCTTCCGACATGCTGCATGTCTCTGTCGGCAGGTGCTCGGAGGTGTCATGCATGTCTCAAGGATAGGCACGTTCAGCAAGGCGCCAAAGTTGCAACGCTGGTTTGGCGACGTTCCCACATGGTAGCGTTTCTTAGTGTTTTGCCTCGAGTGCTTTATCAATACGTATGCGGCTTGCCTCAGGCAGTCGAGTGCATTCATTAGCACCTTCGCACACGGCACGAAAAGCCGTTTCCATCACTGGAGCTTCCCGCCGCCTTTGTGCATTCTGCGCTTCCGATTAGATCAAGCTTCAGGGTGGATGGTGTAGAGTGTCAATCCGATTTGGCTTGCCGGGCTGTCTTTGCGTTGACTTCGATGGATGCTGCAGGCAGGTGATAAGCTCGCCTGAAGATTCCCTGGTTAGTTAAGTACCACCTGAGACTGGCAATCTGAAGTCTTGGCCGATCCTCCCTTCGATGACCCTTGCCTGATTGCTGCCTCATAGAGGTAACTGGAGAGCAATGCGAGCCGTGCTCATGGAGAAGTTCAAAGATCGGAAGCTGCGAGAAGCGTTGTTGAAGACAGGCACGTCAGCAAGCCTGGGCCTGGACATGATCAGCTAACACTCTGACTTCTTGCAACGCAGGGGGGACGTGTTCCAATGACTGCACCTGAGCGTTCGGTTTATATGAATTTCGCAGTGTGCACGATGGTCGAAGCTCCAAACATGATGTTGGTTGATGCCAGCCAATCTTCAGCATTGCGTGTTGCAACTCAAGGGAAAGCCTAGTGTGCATTTCAAGTCATGCCAAGCGTTCGCGATTGTTCAGGCGATTGTTTCTTGCTGGAGCACAATGAAAGAGTTGGTCGGGATGAGCTGCTCTGACTGCATACCTTCCCCTAGTTCGAATCGGTTTCCCGCTCAGGTTTTTGGACAGGCGTAGGCCAAATCTGCACCCAGGTTTTGGTCTGACAACGGCAATGGAACGGGCGTGCATCTTGGAGTGCGTTTATATAGCCTGTAAGAACGAGTCGCGAGCAAGTTCGATGTTTCCTCCATGTTCCTCCTGCATTTGTTCCGAGAATCAAACCGGGAGAGCTGCGATGTTTCGGAGCTGCGATGCTTGATAGGTGCTGTCCAAGTAGTTCTGCTCGATGGACAGGAATGCGCTCGGCCTGCAGCTCATGTTGATTCGGGAGGACCTGTTGAATGCTGGAGGCAAGCTGCAGTCAGACGTCAATCGGGCCAAGTCGGGCTACTCCAGTCCGTTGATCTTCTGTGCAAAAGAGTGAGACTAGCAAGCCTGTGAAGCAGTTCCAGCCTTGCACGGGAAAAAGATGCTCTGACGAACCCTTGTCCCAAATCTCGTGCGTTGGAGGTGCCACTCGGTGGACACGCTATTTGAAAGACCACGTAGAGCAGGGGGATTCTATCGACGTGGACACTGCATGGCGCCAGCTGGTCAGAGCAGCATCTGCTTCTTTGACGGCAATTTGGCGCATGAAATGTGAGCCGCCGGAACTCAGCCAGAGAGCACTTAGCGACGACATAGTGTTGCAAGTTTGTCAGGCTGAAGTTCGACAACAAGTGCTGAGAAGGAGTTCCCGAATCTGCGTCGGGGGTAGGAATTCAAAGACAGCTAGGGTGGAATACTGCCCAATGATCCTTTGCTTTGACTAGGAGATGCTAGGAGTCTCACCATTCCGGACTTGCCACCAAGCGTTGCGTCGTTCCTAGCATAATTTCATTTGCACCTGGACGCTGATATGGATTCGCCAAGCGGCTCTGGCGATGTGAGCCACCGTCTCCCGCCTGCCATCTTTCCTCTCGCTGCCACGTCACGTCTCGGGTTGTGTCTATGTTTCTGTTTCCCTGTCCAGGTCGTCTCGCTTTTGTCTGTTGCAAGGGTCCCTCCAGTTTCTCGCTTCATCACCGTTTGTCTTAGTTTATGTCCTGCTCTCTATCTCTCTCGACACTGACTCCTCCACTCTCTGTCCTTCACCGCCTCTCTCTCTCTTTGTCTCTTCCACCTGCCTGTATGGCTTTGATTGTCAAGAACCCCTTCCTCGTCGGTTTGTGCTGGCCTTTGCTGCAGTTTGTTTCTGTTGCTCTCGGGGTCTGTATTTTCGTCGACCCATTTTCAGCCGAAACTGCATCGGGAAGACGTGGCATGGTCTCGTCTCCCTGCTCTGCGGCCCTGTGTCTCTTCGTGTGTCTGGGTGTCGGCTGCGTGTCTTTTCAAGGTCGCCCTGATGTCAACCTGTGTCCGTCTCCGAATTACTCTGCCTCTTTGCTTTCTGTTGATCTTGCTGTCTCTGTTCGAAGATTTGTCCATCTCTTGGAGTCGAGTGGCTTGTAGGCAGAATGTCTCACATTATCAGCGCGGACTTGTGTTTGTTTAAGCACACGTCTTTGCTGGAAGCCTGGCATTGACAGATGCTGACGTCTCGCAGTTTCGCCCAGGTTTCAAGAACGAGCGATTGGCAGGAACCGATTTTCGACATGTATGATATGTGTAAGTCTGTGTACTCGTGTTTGGTTTGTCCCAGATATGCTTCACGGTGTTGCTCCTGTCGCAACAGGACATTGCCTGAAGCCCTACAGAAGGAGGCTGAGGTTCGCTATGATCGGGTCGTTTGGAAGAGTTTCCACCGCCTCGGTCAGTCGGAGGTGGAAACAAGATTCCAGTGAGCCTGCGATTCGCAGGCTGATTCCAATGCTGCAGCAACGAAGTTTTCGAACATCAACATCGAGAAGGTGGGCATGTGAACGAGCCTTGCTATTGCTATGCATTTCCAGAACTGATTCTCGCGTCGTTGGGAATCCTAAGGCTTGAAGTTCATTTTCATATCGGTAACCCTCGAAACACATCACCCGAGAACCGTTGAAGTCGGGTGGGTGTGTGGCTCAGCGCAATCCAGGTTTTCGTGAACGTGCTGGCATCATGGTGAGAAGATTATCAAACGAACACAGGACACGGACCGCGAAGCTGCAGCAGAGGAGGCATCAGCCAAAGGCGTACGACAAATCGCAAACACAAAATCGAGCACACCAGCAAAACAGGCAGGGATCAAACATCGACGACCAGCCAAGGCAACGACAAGCTTGATAGTCGACAGCGACGGGACGAATACACTAGACACAGATTTCCCACACGAGGCCGGTGCCTTACTAGCTTGGCGAATTCCCACGGTGTTGTTCACATGTTACTGTTTCTTTTTTGTTCTCGTGTGTGTGTGTGTGTGTGTGTGTGTGTGTGCGCGTGTGTGTGTGTGTGTGTGTACGTGTTTCGGTGCTTTCTGGTTTCGTGGTTGTCGTTGTCGCTGTTGCTGTAGTTGCTGTACTTGCTGTTGCTGTTGCTACTGTTGTTGTGGTTTCTGCTGCCGGGCATGTTCCACTGACAAACTGGTTGTGGACCGCAGTGTTCAGCCAGCCACTGTGGACTGGGCTGTGCTGCCTGAGCATCTTTTCTTCAGGTCTTGTGACGAGACTGGGGGAAGGGCAGGCGGTCGCCTGTGACAACCCACTTTCCTACTGTTTAACACCCTGTCGTGGCTTCGCTCGCAGGAAGGCTGCGAAGGCAATCCAAGCAAGCTCACCAGCACTGCCGGGCCAACACTGCTGACTAGCCAGGCAGGGATAGTGGAAGATCGTGTAAGCATGTAATACGTATCTGTATGTTGCATATTTGTGCATTTATGCACACACGTTATACGAAGTTCGTGGTACTTGGGCTCTGTCTTCGCATTTACGAGATTCGACAAACACTTCAAATGTCGACGGGTTTGAGTTCTCTGTAGCAGTACGTCGCTACTGCACTCAATATACTTTCGCGTGAATGAAACGTGGATCATGAAAAGGAACAGAAAGCAGGTCTACGTATGACTCCCTTGTGCTCGCATTGTGGAAGATGGCTTTGTCAGCGATGCTCCCTGATATCAGCCGCTAACGTGCGCCCCCACTTACTGGCTACAGAAGTCGTGCAGCAGCAGGAGTAGTTAGTGTTTAGTAGTTAGTAGGTAGTAGGTAGTGGTAGTTAAGAACTAATAGCAGTCAGTAGTAATGAGTAGTAGTTAGTAGTAGTCAGTAGGAGTAAGTAGTAGTTAGTAGTAGTCGTCGTCGTAGTTGTGGTGGTGGGGTGGCGTTGGTGTTTTGTGCTGGGATTCCCCGGGTTTCGTGTGAAGCATCGGTGACATCTCGCAGAGTTCCTTATCACAAACGTTCGCAGAATCCGCCGCCTCAAAGTCCGCGTTGCACAAGGTTGTGTCGAGCAAAATCCGCACCAGACCCGCGTCGTACGACAACAGTGGATTGCAAGCCTTCGAGATGCATAAGCAAGTTCGATCTGTCACATCAATGTCAGCTCAAGGTCCAGAAGACGGAACACGGCCCCCTTTCTAGTTGCTGAGAGATTTGATGATGCACGGAACAAACCTTGCTTGCCCCCCGGAAGAGTCGAAATCATGCTATCGAAGCAGTTCCTGGGTAAGCGTTCCCACCACCGGAGGCGACCAACCAGCTCAGCGAGTGGAAGATGCCGCCTGCCACCCAGGCATGGAGAGTTCGAGAGGTCACATGCCCATCCCGTAGCGACAAAGCTTGTAGACACCGCTTGCTTTGCGAACTCGAGTGCAGCGAAGTTGCACAGTTGTTCAGGCATCGCCCCAGAAAAGTGCAGTTCCAAACTTCACGGCAGTTTGAACCGTCGTGTTCATGCATGCTGCCCATGTTTTTGGTGTTTCCAGCTCTGCCAAACCCCAAGCTCCCACCGACTGGAGCTTGGACAACCTCAGCAGCAGCGGCAGGACAGCTGATGTAGGTGCTCAATGTGCAAACGTCCAAAAACTCTTCACTGTGATCTGAAGTAGATATCTGCCTGCAGCAGCACGAACTTCATTGTTGCCTTGCGTTCTTAAGTGGGACCCTGTCGACTGAGTAAGGATCAGACGGTCGCTCGTGGGCGGCTGGTGAGTATAGAGTCTATAGAGAGCTTTGTCATGTTTTCTCGGATAGCACAGAAGCTGGAAGGTCGCGTCAATATTTACTCTCTTCCAAACTTAGTAACTGATGAAGATGTGCCAGTACAAGTTTGGTACACTCGCCTTGCTTAGCCATTTGGCCAAGTCGGAATGACATTCGAGATTTCCAAGTGACTAATTACTTTAGTGATTATTTTTGACTCGTCAGTTGAAGCAACTAAAGGTCTCAGACGGGTCGCTCTGGGGGGGAGAGTGTGAGATATTGCCAGGGAACAATATGCTCACCGTGTAACCAAGCTCTCGACAGGTTGCGCTGCAGATGTGAGTGTTGCGAAGTTACAGTCGCTCTTGTTCATGCATCTGTTTTGCTAGTGCTTGCAGATCTCTCAGAGTAGGCTCGTGTCCGTTAGGCCAGCCGAAAATCAACTTGCAGCTGCAAACTTTCGACGGCTGGAGCCGTCGTTTCGTGAGTGGTAACCCTTCCAGAGTGCGTCCACCCTGCCAGACCCCAAGCTCCGACCGAACGGTGCGTGGACAACCTCAACGGCAGCTACAGGACAGTTGATGTGGGTGCTCAAAGGCTCGAAGTGCAAGCGGCCGGTCTCTTCACTATCACCAAGTCTGGAGCTCCAGGCGCAGGAGGACTACGGAACCGGCACCACGGCGGCCAGTCATCGCAGCGAGGGCAAGATGTCGACAGTCAGCGAGGCACGGAGAGGGTGAGATATTTCAGGGAGCACTTGCTCAACATGTAACGAAGCTTACAGATAGCTTGCGGCGTATGCGAGTTTTGCGAAATCTCACTTTTGTGAGTGATCCGTTTGATCCTTTTTGGTAATGTTTGTAGATGTCCGAGGACAGACTTGTTTCCTTGCATGATGAATTCGTACGCTCAGCAGTACGAAGCTTGCAGATAGCTTACATTGCGTATGCGCGAGTTTTGCGCCATCGCATTTGTGTGAAAACATCTTTTTGCGAGCATGCCTTTTGTACCACGCGCGGCAATCAACCGCCAAGCATGTATGGTCCGGGCGCGGGAGGACTACAGAAGCGGCACCACGGCGGCCAATCATCGCAGCGAGGGCAAGATGTCGACAGCCAGCGAGGCACGGAGAGGGTGAGATACTTCAGGGAGCACTTGCTCAACGTGTAACGAAGCTTCCAGAAAGCTTACAGCGTATGCGAGTTTTGCGAACTCGCACTTTTTTGAATGGATCCTTTTGATTCTTTTCCCTATAATGTTTGCAGATGTCCGAGCACAGACCTTGCATCATGACGTCGTAGGCCTAGCAGTACGAAGCTTGCAGATAGCTTACATTGCGTATACGCGAGTTTTGCGACACCGTACTTGTGTGAATGCATCTTTTGCTATAATGTTGCAGATGTCCAAGGGCAGACTTGTTTGCCTGCACGACGCAGTCGCAAGCCTAGCCGTATAACTATGTGCAATAGCGCAGCTAGCTGCTTCACGGCAGCTGTATCCGTCGAGTTCATGAACGCTATCCTTTGGATACTGCGCCCTGCCAGACCCCAAGCTCCTACTCGGTGCTTGGACACTCTCAGCAGCTACAGGACATCAATGCTGAAAGTGCAAGCGGCCGGTCCCTTCATTCATTTCATTCATGTCATGCATCTGATCTGGTTTAGGTATCTGCAGTTTCGCGAACTTCATTGCTTGCTGGCGTACACCAGTGCAAGATCGTCAGCCGAAGTATGAAAGGGTCACAGGCGGGTCGCACTTAAGCATGCAATGAATGTAGAGTTTTGCCTGGTCGTTCTCGGGCTGCACAGAACGGGGGAGGTGAAGTGCTCGCTTACATGAGGATTTCCCGGTTGATGCTAAGCATTTCTCCCATGTAGTAAATTTCTCGCAACTGGTCCGGGCGCGGGAGGACTACGGAACCGGCACCACGGCGGCCAATCATCGCAGCGAGGGCAAGATGTCGACAGCCAGCGAGGCACGGAGAGGGTGAGATACTTCAGGGAGCACTTGCTCAACGTGTAACGAAGCTTCCAGAAAGCTTACAGTGTATGCGAGTTTTGCGAAATCGCATTTTTTCAATGGATCCTTTTGATTCTTTTCTAGAATGTTTGCAGATGTCCGAGGACAGACTTGTTTCCTTGCATGATGAAGTCGTAGGCCTAGCAGTACGAAGCTTGCAGATAGATTACATTGCGTATGCGCGAGTTTTGCGACATCGCACTTGTGTGAATGCATCTTTTTGCTATAATGTTGCAGATGTCCGAGGGCAGACTTGTTTGCCTGCACGACGCAGTCGCAAGCCTAGCTGTATAACTATGTGCAATAGCGCAGCTAGCTGCTTCACGGCAGCTGTATCCGTCGAGTTCATGAACGATATGAACGCTATCCTTTGGATACTGCGCCCTGCCAGACCCCAAGCTCCTACTCGGTGCCTGGACACTCTCAGCAGCTACAGGACATCAATGCTGAAAGTGCAAGCGGCCGGTCCCTTTATTCATTCCATTAATTTCATGCATCTGATCTGGATTAGGTATCTGCAGTTTTGCGAACTTTATTGCTGGCTGGCGTACACCAGTGCAAGATCGTCAGTCGAAGTATGAAAGGGTCACAGGCGGGTCGCACTTAAGCATCCAATGAATGTAGAGTTTTGCCTGGTCGTTCTCGGTCTGCACAGAACGGTGGAGGTGAAGTGCTGGCTTACATGATGATTTCCCGGTTGATGCCAAACATTTCTCCCATGCAGTTTTCTCGCAACTGGTCCGGGCGCGAGAGGACTACGGAACCGGCACCACGGCGGCCAGTCATCGCCGCGAGAGCAAGATGTCGACAGCCAGCGAGGCACGGAGAGGGTGAGATACTCTCAACGTGTAACGAAGCTTCCAGATAGCTTACAGCGCATGCGAGTTTTGCGAAATCGCATTTTTTTCAATGGATCCTTTTGATTTTTTTCGCTATAATGCTTGTAGATGTCCGAGGACAGACTTGCTTCCTTGCATGATGACTTCGTACGCCTAGCAGTACGAAGCTTGCAGGTAGCTTACATTGCGTATGCGCGAGTTTTGCGACATCGCACTTGTGTGAATGCATCTTTTTGCTATAATGTTGCAGATGTCCGAGGGCAGACTTGTTTGCCTGCACGATGCAGTCGCAATCCTAGCCGTATCACCATGTGCAATAACGCAGCTAGCCGCTTCACGGCATCTCTATCCGTCGAGCTCATGAATGCTATTCTTTGGATACTGCGCCCTGCCAGACCCCAAGCTCCTACTCGGTGCCTGGACACTCTCAGCAGCTACAGGACATCAATGCTGAAAGTGCAAGCGGCCGGTCCCTTCATTCATTTCATTCATTTCATGCATCTGATCTAGATTAGGTATCTGCAGTGTTGCGAACTTTATTGCTGGCTGGCGTACACCAGTGCAAGATCGTCAGCCGAAGTATGAAAGGGTCAGAGGCGGGTCGCACTATCCAATGAATGTAGAGTTTTGCCTGGTCGTTCTCGGGCTGCACAGAACGGTGCAGGTGAAGTGCTGGCTTACATGAGGATTTCCCGGTTGATGCCAAGCATTTCTCCCATGTAGTTTTACTCTTAATTGGTCCGGGCGCGGGAGGACTACGGAACCGGCACCACAGCGGCCAATCATCGCAGCGAGGGCAAGATGTCGACAGCCAGCGAGGCACGGAGAGGGTGAGATACTGCAGGTGCACTTGCTCAACATGTAACGAAGCTTCCAGAAGCTTACCGCGTATGTGAGTTTTGGAATGGATCCTGTTGATTCTTTTCGCTATAATGTTCGTAGATGTCCGAGGACAGACTTGTTTCCTTGCATGATGAAGTCGTAGGCCTAGCAGTACGAAGCTTCTTGCAGATAGCTTACATTGCGTATGCGAGTTTTGCGACATCGCACTTGTGTGAATGCATCTTTTTGCCATAATGTTGCAGATTTCCGAGGGCAGACTTGTTTGCCTGCACGATGCAGTCGCAAGCCTAGCCGTATAACTATGTGCAATAGCACAGCTAGCTGCTTCACGGCAGCTGTATCCGTCGAGTTCATACTGCGCCCTGCCAGACCCCAAGCTCCTACTCGGTGCCTGGACACTCTCAGCAGCTACAGGACATCAATGCTGAAAGTGCAAGCGGCCGGTCCCTTCATTCATTTCATTCATTTCATGCATCTGATCTGGATTAGGTATCTGCAGTTTTGCGAACTTTATTGCTGGCTGGCGTACACCAGTGCAAGATCGTCAGCCGAAGTATGAAAGGGTCACAGGCGGGTCGCACTTAAGCATCCAATGAATGTAGAGTTTTGCCTGGTCGTTTTCGGGCTGCACAGAACGGTGGAGGTGAAGTGCTCGCTTACATGAGGATTTCGCGGTTGATGCCAAGCATTTTTCCCATGCAGTTTTCTCGCAACTGGTCCGGGCGCGGGAGGACTATGGAACCGGCACCACGGCGGCCAATTATCGCAGCGAGTTCAACATGTCGACAGCCAGCGAGGCACGGAGAGGGTGAGATACTCCCAACGTGTAACGAAGCTTCCAGATAGCTTAGAGCGCATGCGAGTTTTTGCGAAATCGCACTTTTTTCAATGGATCTTTTTGATTTTTTCCGCTATAATGTTTGTAGATGTCCGAGGACAGACTTGTTTCCGTGCATGATGAAGTCGTACGCCTAGCAGTACGAAGCTTGCAGATAGCTTACATTGCGTATGCGCGTTTTGCGACATCGCACTTGTGTGGATGCGTCTTTAAGCTATAATGTTGCAGATGTCCGAGGGCAGAGTTGTTTGCCTGCGCGATGCAGTCGCAAGCCTAGCCGTATCACCATGTGCAATATCGCAGCCAGCCGCTTCACGGCAGCTGTATCCGTCGAGACCATGAACGCTATCCTTTGGATACTGCGCCCTGCCAGACCCCAAGCTCCTACTCGGTGCCTGGACACTCTCAGCAGCTACAGGACATCAATGCCGAAAGTGCAAGCGCCCGGTCCCTTCATTCATTTCTTTCATCTGATCTGGTTTAGGTACCTGCAGTTTCGCGAACTTCATTGCTGGCCGGCGTACACCAGTGCAAGATCGTCAACCGAAGTATGAAAGGGTCAAACAAGCGTCGCACTTAAGCATCTAATGAATACAGAGTTTTGCCTGGTCGTTTTCGGGCTGCACAGAACGGTGGAGGTGAAGTTCTCGCTTACATGAGGATTTCCCGGTTGATGCCAAGCACTTCTCCCATGTGGTTTTACTCGCAATTGGTCCGGGCGCAGGAGGACTCCAGAAGCGGCACCAGGGCGGCCAATCATCGCAGCGAATGGAAGATGTCGACAGTCAGCGAGGCACGGAGAGGGTGAGATACTTCAGGGAGCACTTGCTCAACGTGTAACGAAGCGTCCAGATAGCTTACAGCGTTGATTGTTTTTGCTAGTGTTTGTAGATGTCCGAGGACAGACTTGTTTCCTTGCATGATGAAGTCGTACGTCTAGCAGTACGAAGCTTGCAGATAGCTTACATTGCGTATGCGCGAGTTTTGCGACATCGCACTTTTGTGAATGCATCGTTGTGCTAATGTTTGTAGATGTCTGAGGGCGGACTTGTTTGCCTGCATGATGGCAGTTGCAAGCCTAGCCGTATCACCATGTGCAATAACGCAGCCAGCCGCTTCACGGCAGCTGTATCCGTCGAGCTCATGAGCGCTATCCTTTGGATACTGCGCCCTGCCAGACCCCAAGCTCCTACTCGGTGCCTGGACACTCTCAGCAGCTACAGGACATCAATGCTGAAAGTGCAAGCGGCCGGTCCCTTCATTCATTTCTTTCATGTCATTCATCTGATCTGGTTTAGGTATCTGCAGTTTCGCGAACTTCATTGCTGGCTGGCGTACACCAGTGCAAGATCGTCAACCGAAGTATGAAAGGGTCACAGGCGGGTCGCACTTCAGCATCCAATGAATGTAGAGTTTTGCCTGGTCGTTCTCTGAAGTGCTCGCTTACATGAGGATTTCCCGGTTGATGCCAAGCATTTCTCCAATGTAGTTTTTTCGCAACTGGTCCGGCCGCGGGAGGACTACGGAACCGGCACCACGGCCGCCAACTATCGCAGCGAGGGCAAGATGTCGACAGTCAGCGAGGCAAGGAGAGGGTGAGATACTGTGCCCGTTTCTTTCATGTTGATTTAATGTACTTCTATAAGAAAGCAACGCTCGGCTTGGAAGCCTTAATCCTGAAAGCTTGTTTTTTTCCAAGCTGGACGCGCGCCTGTGTGCCACAGTCGCCTGTTGTGTAGCAGTCAGGCGGACGTGCCTCAAAGTAGAAGAATTCGCGACCCCCCAAAATGGGGCCGTTTGGCGGCCCCATTTTTGGGGTCGGGGTTCCAAGCCTCCAACTCATGCTCAAACTATATATTTAATGAGGCCGGGCGCATGTCGCAGCCCTGTTTTCGGGGCCGCGAAACGGCCCCATTTTTGGGGTCGCAAATCGCAAATGTTCGGGGCCAACCAGCTGGATCTCGGGCGTGCGCCTGCCTGCCTTTGTTCCCGCAGTTTTGGGCATCATGCAGACGCAAGATTGAAAAGCCAGAAGTCTTGTCCAAAGCAG